CATATATATATATATAATTTTCTTTTTGTGTGTTCCAGATCCATGTCTACAGCTTAGAGACGGGGAAACCTGTGGTCTGTGTGGGCAGCTCACCAGGAGACTTCAGCTGCATCAACCTGAAGAACAGTCCAGCTCACCTGCTGGTGTGTGGAAATAAGGACAGGAGGTACAGTAGTAGTAGTAGTTGTAGTAGGACACATTTAGACATACACAGGATCACATTTGTCCTCAAGAGGGCACTGATTGACAACTGAAAGCCGCTGCTGCAGCACTGAAATATTACAGGACTAAATCCTTAAGACTTCCTTAAAGTACACACTAAGACAAAAAGCAAGAAAATACAAACTACAACTGATGTTAATGAGCAGTCTGACCACAGATGGCGCTGAATCCTCCTTCAGAGTTGGCTGACATGTTTAGATGTGACACTGAGGACTAAGACTAGGAGAATTAGTCAATGTTTTACCCTGTTACATTCATGTATTTAGCTTGTGATTATTTTTAGGATTTTATTTGTGGATTCTTGTCAAAGAAATTATTTAAAAAATACTATTTGTGTGCTTTATATACGTGCTGTGGTGAGAAATTAAAATTTTGTAGTGTTTATCTTAAACTGTGTCCGTCGAGGTGATAAGATATCGGCAAAAAGTTCAAAAATATCGGACATCTCTACCAAAAAATGACGTCAGGCGTAGAGCTACAGGACAGTGAGATTTAAATCAAGATTTAAACCAATCAAGTCGTCTCTGAGAGATTCCTAACGTTTTCGCAGTTGCAACTTGAATAGAAGAAGTTGTGAAACCAGGTGTTTAGAGAATGTGCGTGAGGTAAACAGCTCTTGTGAATACTGATTCACACCTGTCAGTCTGTCTGCTACCTTCTGAGACAAAGCTTCATACACTTTGATGAAAAGAGTAGCAAAGGACATTGAAGTCCTCAGACACTGGCGTTGTTTGTTTGTTTTTTTTTTGTTTTTTTTTAAATAAAAACCATAATACCCATACCCAGTTACCCATAATGCCGTTGAAAGAAAAAATCTGGCCTTTTGGGTCACACCCGGTAACAACACGTGCATTCATGTGTGTGCACACTCCCTAACCTGGCTCTTCCAGATGAGGACAAGACACATAAAAGAGCCATTCTCATCTATTCTGCACTTGTTAGCCGAAGCTGCGGCGCACGAGCTGGCAGCAGGACCAAAAAAAGCCTGGCACGCTTCTCTCTGCCCCTGCTGCTTCTATTCAGTCCCAAACCCATCTGGCTGCTAAGCAGTTGGCTGATAGCGAAAGACACAACCGCCGCATCTTTTTTTTTTCAGTGTCCGTGGCCCTTCTTCTAACCCTCATTATTCCTTCCGAGTTACGACACTGGGCAAAAGCGGAGGCTACTCTATCACCGCTAATGAAAATGTTTGTCATTCTCATGTTAATATTTTAACAGCAGCATCGCTGAATGCTGAACACGCTCCGTGCCAAAGGATCCGTGGCGTCTTAATCCAATTCCTTTATACTTTGTTCGCCGTCTCCTCTCTCCGAGGTGTGCAGTTGTGTTGGCGGCGATGCACCCCCAGCAGCTTGGCGTTCTCCCTCTGGCCCCAGCTGCTGCCACGCTTAGACAGAGACGAATGGGAGTCTTTGAGACCAAGGGACAGCCAGCACACTTGGCGCTCCACTGCTGTGGCCTAAGGCCAACGACTAATATGTCTCTTTCTTTTGTCCAAATTAGTTTTGTCCTTCGGTTTCTTTTGGGCAATGAGGAGTCCTGATATTGGAAAAACGACAGGGCGCCGCTAATGGGAATGATGTGGGCAAAGAGCAACATGTAGTAAGAGAAGAAGAATAAGTGAGTGTAGCCAGTGGTCATTATACAAAGAGAAAAAAAAAACGTAATTTTGAAGTTAGCTCAAAAAAACAGTTAGAAATTAGCCAGAAAAAGGTTGGTGATAGCCAAAAAACAGTTTTAACTGAACAAAGAACTGTTCAAATTAGCCAAACACCAGTATGGAGTTAGCTCAAAAAATATTTGAAATTTTCCAAAACCAGTTTAAAGTTACCCTAAAACCAGTTTGGTGTTAACCAAAAACCAGTTTGGTGAAAATCATTTCCAGCCTAACTAAATACCAGTTTAAGGTTAGCTCAAATACAGTTTGAATTTAGCCTAGCCCAGTTTAAAGTTCACTCTTCACACTAGTGTGGAGTCAGCCTGTGTTATAATTGGTGTTGAAATCATATTTGGACGGATGTCAGTTGGACCACTTCTATTGTAACACCCTGATCTTTCAGTTTTCTTTCAAGTGTCTCTTTAAGGTTGATAAAGAACAAGTTCGTAGAGCAAAAAAAAAAACAAAACAAAAACAAACAGCATCTGGAGCCAAAATAACTAAAACTAAATCATCGACTAAATGAAGTGAATACATTTAAGTGGATGACGCAGTCTTGTTAAAGTCGTGGTCTGGATACTGTAATAAAGTTTCAATGGCAGCAGATGGCGCTGGAGTTCCCCTGGGCTCCAGTTGAGTCATGAGTCACTTTTAGAGTGATTAGAAAAAAAAAAGTTTTACAATTGTATTTTAATTGTTATATTTAAAATTTTAAACCTTTATTATTTATATTTATTATGTATTTATTTTATTTTATTGTTTTTTGTATTTGTAGTACTAACATTTAAAAAAATGTTTCACCTTTTTTAACCTTTCTATTTCCTGTGAGCTCTTGTTGTTTATCTATTATGGTATTTTCTACCTTTCATTTTATTGACCTGATTCCCTGACAATCAGTTTAGAAATATAAATCTCACTTACATATCTATTTAATGTCCAAGACTCCACTTCCTGTGGGAGGCTCTGCGAAATTCCATGCCAAGGAAATTATTCTTTGTTAAACTCGGGGCCATTGGCTGAAGGCAGAAAACAAAGGCTACAGTGACACAGCTGTTTAAGGATTTTCATGGTTGTGTCTTGGCCCATGTTAAAACGTCCTCTTGTTACTCCCATAACAAGGAATAAAGAGCTTTTGTGTGAAAATGAATGAAGTCTTTGAATGGCTGGACCCAGGCAGATGATTTCCTCCTGTGTCTGCACCAGAAAAAAAACAAAACACAACACTTAAAACCCCCACTCCACACGACTGGAAACTCCAGTTGATGTGGTGCTGTCTGTAAATGTTGTGATCACTCTGAACATTTTAACCTTTGACACAGGTCTGAACCTTGACCCCCTTTCTCTGTTGTCACTCAGGGTGAGGGTGTACGACCTGAGGAGCGGCTCCTCTGTGGTGTCTCTGTACGCTCACCACCTGGGCGTGACGGCGGTGCAGGCGGACGACTGGAAGATTGTGAGCGGCGGAGGCGAGGGGTTGGTGTGTGTGTGGGAGATGAGGATGACGGCCAAACTGTGGGAAATGCACAACAGGTGAGACGTGGGACCTGTCAACAGTGGACAGTTTGGACATTATGTATGGATTCATGTCTTCGTCAACCTTTGAATTTGGTTGATTTCATTTTTTACATTTTTACATTCCCTCTATTAAAGTCAGATTTAATAGTATTGTATTTTAGCTAGTTGTTCTCCAGGTTCATTAGCCGAGCACTAACAAATCGTTAATACAGTGTTTTCCAACCTTTTGGGAGCCACGGCACATATATATCATCAGAAAAAAACATCATGGCACACCACAAAAAAATCTCATAAAAAGTATATTTAATAAAATAATCTTCAAGTTTAAATGACCTCATAATTGACTAAAATCTCAGCCTGTTTAGTTGAAAACAACACTAATATACTGGCAGGAATTGAAGAAAGAGACTCGCAAAGATTAAAGATACATTTTTAGTTTTCATAGCCATCTGCTCCCACCTAGCAGAAGAGTATTTAATTGTGCTTTGCCTTTCATGCTTTGACAAGCAGAGAAAAATGATACGCAATAAATAAATAATAGTTTTCAGCCAATAGTTTTCAGGGAGAATCCTCAAAAGGACCACTTTTGAGGACTGTTCTTCAAACGTTATCTTCTGTCCCACAGACATCCTGTCAGGCATGTGCGCTTCAGCACCAGCACGCTGCTAACAGCTAACATCCCAGATGACAAATCCCCACGGGGGGCCTGCATCACAGATGATGATCTCACAGCCCACCGCAGGTGAGGTTCTTGTTCCTCTTCTTGTCGTTCTTTCTCTGCTTCTTTTTCACTGTTCATTTTCATCTCTGTTCTTTCCTTTTAGCTACTGCTTTTATTATGAAATTATCTAATCTTATTTTATCTTAATTAATCCTATCTTGATTTAACTAATCTAAGTTTACATTAGCTTAAGTTAAGATAACTATGCTTATTTTAGCTTAACCTAACTGGTCTGGTCTTAGCTTCATTTGACTTAACTAAACGTTACTAAGTTTATCTCAGCTTAACTTAGCTTCTTTAATTTTACTTTCATAAACTTAACTAAGCTTATTTTAGCTTATCATAGCTTCATTTAACCTAAATATACTTTAACCTTATCTTAGCTTCATTTAACTTAACTAAACTTAACTAGGCTTATCTTAGCTTACCTTAACTAAGCTTATTTTAGCTTTAGTTAACTAAACTAAACATTAAGCTTAGCTTAGCTTTGGTTACCTTAACTAAGCTTATTTTAGCTTCATTTAACTAAACTTTAAACTTAGCTGCATCTAACAAAATTTATTTAACCGTATCTTACCCTAATTTAGTGTAATACAACTTAACTTTACCTAACTAAGGTCATCTTATCTTAACTTAAGTTAGCTTAGTGTCACGTTAATCTGTCAGACTACGTTCCCTACTTAATATTCATAGTGTCGTTCTAAAATCTGTGAAGTGGTTTTCAGCTGGATCGGTCCAAACATCGATCGTGGTCTAACCCGAACATGTTTGTCGTCCAGACACAGGGGAGTCATCTGTTATTACGATTTCTCCGAGGACGCGCTGACCCAGGATCACATCCTGCCAATCTGCAGGTCGAACTACGCCGAGTCGTCGGGCTACAACTACAACATTAGCCTAACGGTTCCGTACGACCGTCTCTCTGCCTCCAATCATTCCTACTGATGTGGACGGGAAACAGAACTGATCTGAAACCAGTTTGATTCCCCGAATGGAAACTTAATAATTCATGTTTTTTGTGAGTGTAGAATTCATCCACATCTGTCAGTTTTTTTTAAACAGTTAAGTAGATATTTATACTGGGATCGTGATGGATTCATGACTACAATTGACTATTTTCATCTATTTTCATTTCAATCAGTGCTGATAAATAACATTCGTCTATAAAACACAACCAAAATGTTTTCAATTTTTTGTTTTTAATTTCCTTGAAATCACAAACATAAAAAGATCATAATCTCATTCTTTACATATAAAGTTTTTTTAGTGCTGAAAAGGTATTTAACTTCACAAAACGTCATTGTGTCTCAAAGATGATTCCTTTACTGAAGAGGTAGTTAGTTTAAATTATAAAGACTGATTCATGTTATTAAAAAGACAACTCTATGGCAAAACAAATTCAAATATATCACAATTGTTATTGAGCATATGATTTATTTCACTTAATATATGAATTATGTTGAAATAAATCCCATTTTTACACAGTGACTTATGACCAAAGATGGAGGGTTTTTTTTTAACATTAATGGTCTACAGGAAAAAACGTAATCTAAAAATATTTCAAAAGTTTTTGGCTTCTCTCAGGGTAAAGAGTGAAGTGGTTCCACTTTAAAAAAAAAAAAAGTGAGTTACTGTATATAAATGTTTTCCTTCACATGGTCGCTTTCCCACAACGCATTGTTGTTGTGTCTACATCCAAGAAGCGAATGTGCATCCTGGACTCCATCTCCAGCCCCTTCAAAATCTATCCAGACATAATGAAATATATTTAGTCAAAGGCACCCAAAAAACTTTTTTTTCCATTTCATTAGGGGTAAAAAGAAATATCATCAAACCTGCTCGAAATGCTCAAACGTAATTCCTTCATAAAAGTCCTCTGGAGCCTGAAAACAGAAGGAAACGAAACATCAAGACGACATTTAGTAAATGATCGGTTCATTTCTGCTGGACTTTTCTCACCATGTGTGGCACGTTTGTGCTCGCCACCTCCAACATGGCTGCATCTGCTATGGCCTTGGCAGCCTCCAGTCCGATGGCTCCGCTCTTGGACAGAAGCTCTTCCACGACCTTGGATTAAAACGTGGAAACGATTGAAACTTTTTACCACAATGGAGATCAAAATGTAGGTTTACTGAAGTACAAGTACTCTGAAATACTCCTCAAACCTTCATTTTACCATCAAATACAATTCACCTAAATAAAACAATGAAATATTCCAACTGTTGGGAAATTGATAAATTAAGACAACACAATTTATTAAGTTATAAACCTAAATACTACATCGTTATTCACCCCTCCTCGCTCATTCCAGCAACTCTGCTGTTACTGTTTCTTACACCTGAGTTGAGTTAATATATATTTTTTTATTCACCAGGATACCCATACATGTACACTATATTAAAATGAAAAGAACCGTGACATTATTTATTTGCTGTTAGCAAGCAATGTAAAAAATTTAGACCTGAAAGTTCAAAGTTGGTTGTCATTAATAAGTCAGTATCTGCTGATGTTGCAGGATGCTAGCTACTAAATATACCTGTCGAGTTGAGGTAATAAATCATTTATGTTTTTGTATGAAAAGCCACAGCCAGGTGGTGTTTGAGCCATTCATAAACAGTCCTGTGATGTCACTCATGAGCCACAGGTTTCAGATCTTGATTCAGGTTAATTATACAGCCAGGTGATCTTACTGTTGTGCTTTTAATAGCCTCTAAGTGCAGGCATAACAAGAACAACAACGCTGCACCTCTGTGATTCACCCACACAAATATTTTTATCCTGTTACTCAGTTCACCACAGATAACTGCAAGGGTGTGGACAGACTCATTGACTTCACTGTTTTCTTCACAACAAAATGACAATGATTAACAAGAAACGCTGCACTTGATGACATCACCGTTTGAAAGAGACAAAACCATATGTTTCACAAAATCAAGAAAAACTCAAGAGGAGGGGCAAATAGTCATTTAGACCAGTGTTTCCCAAACTTTTTTTCTGGGGACCCATATTTTAAAAGTCACAAACCTTCGCAACCCAAGTCAATAGACATTATTCGTAAACATCAGGGAAACATGATACGAGATGACCCAAAAAAATTATTTTGCGACCCACCTGCGATGTATTGCATTGACTGTGGGTTCTTGACCTACATCGGAATCTCCTTCAAGTCCAAACTCACACACTGGACATTAATACTTATGTCACTCACATATGCTAACACAGTGGTAACATAAAAATGTAGGACATAGAAACATCAGAAGATTCTTACTTATGCCTGAGAGCCATAACAAAGGGCAAAAAGTTCCCAAAAACCCCCACAAACGGAAGAAAGACAATCTATGCCAGTTTTTCCCAAACTTTTTTTCTAGGGACATATTTTAAAAGTCACAAACTTTCACGACCCAAGTCAATAGACATTAATTGTAAACACCTGGGAAACATGACGCGAGATGACCCAAAACAATTATTTTGCGACCCACCTGAGGGGTGACCCAGTCTTCAGGAAACAATGATATATGCCATCCAACCGGCGAATGTAAACAAAGTAGTGATGGGATAACCGACTCTTTTTATTGATTCGAATCTTTGATTCTCGAATACTAAAATGAACGAGTCGTGAACGAATCTTGAATTAATCATTTCATTCGTTTTACAGCAGGTGGCGCTTTAGCCCTATTGAGGGCGTTGTAAAGAAGTCTGCGGTTCTCCGACACTAAATAAGGCAACATGGTTTGCTTCCGCTGACAAAGTCTACAAAGTACACAAAATGCCATAAGTAATTAAAACCATGTGAAAAGCTAAGAAATAAAAACACACCACAATGTGAAGATGAATGGTTCACAGCGAAAGATTAGTTCACAGCGAAAGATTAGTTCACAGAAAAAGATTAATTCACAGGGAATGATTCGTTCATAACGAAAGATTAGTTCACAGCAAAAGATTAGATCACGGCGAAAAATTCGTTCACAGCGAAAGATTAGTTCACAGCGAAAGATTAGTTCACAGAAAAAGATTAATTCACAGGGAATGATTCGTTCATAACGAAAGATTAGTTCACAGCAAAAGATTAGATCACGGCGAAAAATTCGTTCACAGCGAAAGATTAGTTCACAGTGAGTGATTAGTTCACAGTGAGTGATTTGTGAGTGATTCGTGAGTTCAATATGAACAAATATTTAATATGACTCGGGAGTCACGAGTCATATGAAAGTTCAAAATGAACGAATCACTCGCGAACGACACATCACTAAAACAAAGCCGTCTTCAGCTTATAGTGCCGTGTGACGACGTATTCTTCCACTCCACTCGCAAACTAGTTTGCGTGTGAAATACGCTTTAACCCCGTATGTCGGAATGATAGAACAAGACTTTCTTAGTAGATTGATGGGAGATGACGACATAACCACGGCCGTAAACGAGGACCCCTTGTACTGTGCGAGCTCATCCGTCTTCTGCGTGTATCTTCATAAGTATATTTTCTTACCTTTCTGTACTCCGTCAAAGTGATGATACCGTCGTTGTCCGTGTCATGCATGTTGAACAAGACTGAAAAAGAAGGAGAAAGGACTGTCATGTCAGGGTCTCCGCTTTCCTCACAATGATTTTTAGTTATGATTAGTTTCAGGATGTGATGTTGCCTTTTATAAATGTAAATAACCACAACGGAAAATCATAAACATCGATGCCGGATATGGGAAGCCATGGAAACCACTGACTGTCCTAGACTTGGAGTGCGGCGGGAGAAGTGATCGAGATGAGTGCTGAGTGACCACGCCTTGGTTAACAAATACACACAACAGGAAAATCAGGGGACACTTCTGTGGAACACAGGAACTCGTTGTAGCTCACATATCCAGGTAAACTTTTGATTCGTGGGCCACAATTGTCCTAAAATTAAACAGGGGGGCTGGAGGGGTCTGGAGTCGATAAAGGGAGCGTTCGTGTGAACTAAGATAAATGACATGTAAAAGACATGCATACTGTGAAGGCTGAAATGCTAAAATTGTTTTCTACGCCATCTATTGGGGAAACGTATAATATAAAAATATAAATAAATTATATAATTTAGAAAAATATGGCGGGCCGGATTAAAAAAATGAACGAGCCGCATCCATCCTCCAGACCTTAGTTTGCCCATTCCTTTACTAAGAGAAAATGAAAACTCTTTACTGAAAACCACTGGTTAATCCTGGGGTTTGAACCCTTTCTGGCAAACTCTGGCTTTTTGTGTAATCATGTGTTTTATGAAATCATCTCCTTTTAAATAAACTCAACTAAAACTAAAATAAACTAAAAAAAATACCCCTGATCTTGTCGTTGTAAGGCAAGGGTAGTAACCACTACCAAAATGTGTCCCTCTGCCATTTTTGATACGGTAATAATTTTGCATTTTGTTTATAGAGTTTTTTTTTGTAAGGGTAGACAGTACACCGATTTCATTGTACTGCAATACTGCAGTAATAGTACATCTGCAGTTATCTTATCTCAAAGTGCTCATTGTCACCACCGCTGTTCGTAGCCTGCGGTGCATGTGTTAAAAACCTGATCCCTACAATACACACCGACGTGATACTTTGGATGGCCTTGTACTCTATGTCTCAGTATTTGTAAAATAAACATCCTGGACAGCTCCCCTAGTGACGGTGGTTAAAAACAGACTGTGGTGTCTCTTACAGCGGAGCTTTTCCTTTCTCATGGCTTCCTTCTCCTCCGCTGTGGTCTTCAGGTTGGGGGGGCGGAAGTGAGACATGACCATAAGGAACTGTTCGAAACCGATCTCATGGAAGAACCCAGCCTTGTCGTCGCGCTGGTTCCTGTGACACAAAAAGATTTTTTTTCCTGATGTCCTGATATCAATACTTTTCATTCAAATACTCGAGTACTTCTACTCAAAAACGTTGAGTTTCGTCAGGGTGGAGGTGGCTCACTGCAGATCTTTAGTGTGCAGATGAACACTGATTAACATTTACAACCCAGGCCTTTATCTTATCACAAAGACCAAAGATGTCTCCCAGCTCAGTAAAAAGAACCAATAAACCCGTGGTTTCCAACCTTTTTTGGCTCAAAAATGTCTGTTGACCCCAGAGTCTTTTTTTCTGTTTTCATCATGTCTCTTATACTGTGTTGTTTAAGATTATGTTTGGTGTTTTTATCCATAATTTAAAAAAGAAAAACAATTAGTTAAAATATATATATTTGTGCGTATATAGCATGTGTTAATGTATATATAATAATATATATAATTTGCCAATTACACAATATATATATATATATACAGTAATATATATATAATTTACATATCACAAATTACTAGACTTTTTAGGCAACTCCATTTGAATACCAAACGATCCCATGTGGACTCGCGACCCCAAGAAATAAAAACACTGCAATAAACATACTAAACAGTAACAGGCTGAGAACAGGTTATAGTCTGAAATATATTCTGTAGCAGGTGTCAATATATGTAGGTCACTGATGGTTTGTATTTTTTTATACCAGTTAGTATCGGTACATTTGAAATACCTACAAATAGTACTTGTTTACTTTTGTTTGTACTACTGTGTATAAGAACATAGGGCATTGTATTGCAAATGGAACTCACTCACCTTTTGTCAAAGAACGCATCAATAATCTGTTTTCTGAGGGGGTTGTTGGACAGGGCAGATATCGATTCCAAGTTTTCTCGACTGCAACGTGACAAAAAAGAGGTACTACAGTACACAGCTGGTATCAACATACCATACATTTACATAATACAGAAATATATTTGTAGGAAGTAAAAGCATCTATGTGTGTGGGAAGACACGTCCTGCACATGTTTTCTGTTTCTTCATTTAAGAGTAGGCCTTGTGATTTACAGCCAACATGTTTGAGTGTGTGTGTATGCGTTTCAGGTATAGCTGTAGTTGTTGGGACATTTTTGTAAAGTACCATCTCGAGGACATTTTGCAGGTCCCTACTGAATAAAAAGGTATTTGGAGTTGTGTGTGACGTCAACATAGCATCTGGTACAGATACCAGAGATGGCCACACTTCATTACCAGAGCTCCACGCTGGTAGTATTTCATCTAGTGTGGACACCATCAAGGCCAAATAGTTTCCACTCAGACCATGTGATCAGCAGAGCTTTGCCATCGTTATATATTTTTACCTCTTACCTTATGGTCTCTTCATTTCCACTCAGGTGCAGAAAACGTTTGTGGAGGTTTTTGATCTGCTCCAATGAAACTAAAAAAAAAAGGAAGACGTATCACTTAACACTCTAGTAACACTCTACAGTATTCTTGGTTTGCAATATCAGTGCAGTAGTATTTTCATAGTCCTCTGTCTGTTACACAGATGATAATGTTGTGCCATTAGCTAAAGAACGTATGCAACTGTATGTATAACAACAGCAATAAACACAGGTTTTAAAAGCTCATGTTAAATATTTTGTATTGACATTTTAAATATATATACACATGCATATATCTATATATACACATACACACACAGTATATATGTACATATACCGCATTTACAGTACATACATCTATTTAAATGTGTATACAATTATATATACATGCATATATGTGTGTCTATACATATATAAATATAAATATATTTGTGTGTATGTAGCATGTGTATGTATATATGTATATTTATATACATTATTTATGTGTACATGTGTTTATATGTCTGTCTATACATACAGTATATAAATATATGTGTATATGTAAATATATATTTATGTGTACATGTGTATATATGCATATATATGTGTCTATACAAATATATACAGTACGTGTATACAGTGTTTATGTGTATATATAGTATATATATTTATGTGTACATGTGTATATATGTATATATGTGTCTTTAGACACATATATACAGTATGTGTATATAGTTTATGTATATTATATATATTTATGTGTACATGTGTATATATGTATGTGTATACACATATATACAGTACGCGTGTATATAGTGTTTATGTATATATACTGTATAGCCCTATGATTATATTACAGTTAAACCGTGTTATCAGAGTTGTTGTTGTCCAAGTAAACAACATGTGTGAACAGGGAGAGATCACATGCAGCCTACAGCGCACAGTGGTTTTAAACCATGCTTTGCTGCATTCATTTGCAGTCCTAATAACAGTCTAATGACAATGCAAACACACTGTGCTGCCGCAGGACTGCTTTTATTTCAATATCTGCTTCCTTGAATCATTAACCCTCTGTGACTCGGTCGGTGTATCAGGGCAGCTTTTCTTTATTCCTCTGCTTTGGTTAAATACCTAATGTGTGTTTGTCGTGGCAGTTCTGTTAGGGTGAGGAACTCGGTTGCTTCCTCGTGCAGAAACATGTTTGCTGGTCAGAGTGTGTGCTTGGACTATTGCGTGATGTCACATTTAAAAAAACAACTTAGTCACACAATTGGAAAACAAACAAACAGGTTTTTGTCTGTCAGGGCATCGAAACTATTTTATCAGAGACACACAAACACATAACAAACAGCAGAGATAAAATGGGTTCAATCTTAAGGAACAGTTACAGCCACAATAAAAATGGAACCAGTCTGGGATCACCACTTCATTTCCTGTCGGGATAGTCGGCCTGTCGGAGCATGCTTGAGGAAAACATGTCCGTGCAAACAAATCCACTCTGCCTTTATGAAAGTTTATTCTGATAACTTGGAATCATTAACTGTTTTTCATGTCTGTCCCAAAAAAAACAAAAAAACATTTACCTTTGAGTGATTCACACCTGGGGCCGTCCATTTTTTTTTTTAACTAGGAACCTCGAAACCAAAGGAGCCCCTAATAATTACACAAGGCAAAGTCAAAAAGTTCTAAGACAGCACAATTTTTTTATTAGTGTCTTAGAACTTTTTGACTTTGATTTTTTTTTAATGGTATTCTGCGGGATGTTTTAGCACCAGATCACAGCCTGCTCCTTAGCCTCGTCAGACTTTTGAAATTGAGTTACTTTCAAATATTATTTCAGAACTGGGCTAAAAAAAGAACTTGACAGGATCTAATTCAAGTTTGACAAACGTAAAAAGATAAAACACCCAACACTATACCATTTGTCTTAGAACATTTTGTCTTACTGTCATTTTGTACGTATATGATTTTTTTGCTTATTTAAATGAACCAATCAGTGCTGAGGATCAAACAGCACTGGTATGTGTTCGTGTTATTATAGACAAACTGGCAAACAACAACAACAAAAAAATAATATCACGATTGTTTTGAAACTTCACTACCCCCTGGTGGTCGCGGACCCCGTTCTGAAAAGCTTTTATACAGTATATGTATATAGACCTATATCATAACATAGCAGCGCTTAGTACATGTAAATATTCGGGTGAAGTTAGCTTTCAAACATTATCGCTGTTCTTGTGAAATAATATTCAATACCATTCAAGTTTCTGTTCGATATTTGTCCACTTTTCCTTGACAGCAGAGATTCCTTAATGTCAGCACAACTGAAGTAGAGAGAGTACACACTACTATAACACAGGGCAGAGTTTAGCGGCGTGTGCACAAGCACAGCAAAAGTCACTTCCTGACGGGAAAGTTTTCCATGTGTATGTTTGTGTACTTACATCCAGTTTTGTCCATCAGGTCCTGGTACCTGTTGTCGGAGCGGGTCTGTGAAGCTCCCATCGCTGCTGCTGCTGCTGCTGCTTCAGCCGCGCGTCAGTCCGAGCGCATGATCTCAACTTTCCTTCTCCTTTTTATCTCCTCGCCTGTCTTTTGGGTGTTTTACGGCAGTCGGCGTGAGTGACGTTGCCTCACTACCTCCCTGTGGATTTAATATCTCACTACAGTTGTGCAACAGTTTTTCTATCATTTTTGAACAAGTCCGTTGGTAAACAACCAACCGGATCTACTTTACCGAGTGGCACTTACTGCTTTCACAATATCTGGTCTGCGGCACATGAATACGTCACAGGGGGTATAAATATAAATTTGTACCGCCATAAAATTAGCCGTTAGAATAATTTTAATAAACACGTACAGTGTCTTTGCTACAATAGAAAGGCCACTAAAAGGAATATTTAAATCTGTTGCATGAAAATGTGTTTGTACAACATACCTTCGACCCCCTTTAAAAAAAAAAAAAAAAAAAGTTATTCAATGAATTATTGTAGTTTTTGAATCTGAGTGTTGACCTGGTCATTGTCCTGTAAAACCAGAATATCATCCACCATTCCACTGTGTTGAAATGTATCGTAATATGATAAGAATCTGAATTTCTGACATATTTCTGGTCATTTGTTTTTGTAAAAGTGATATTCTGGTGTGCTATAGGGACGAGGAACTGAGCATCATTAGACCTACATATAGAATTACACAACAGATTCAAAAATGCAAGTACTTGTCCTGAAGTACAGTAATATTAACTATAACAACTGTGTGAAGTACTATAATCGTGAAAAAATATATTATAATTTCAGCTTCATTCAACATTGAAACTCACACTGTTGTCTGCTTTATTCGACCCATCCTTTTTTCCTCAAGGTTTCCTCGATCCCTTGTTTCTGTGACTAAAACCCCCTGCTGGTCTTCTGTGGCATTACAGGGTAAATTGTGTAAAAATAACCAATAAATACAACTTCATAGATTTCAATTTTTTAATTGCTCTGTAATGTTCGGTACATGTTTTTTGATGTTAGTAAGGTCCTTGGAGGTTCACTTATTTTCACTGCACTAACATCTAGAGTAATACTGAATGTCCATGACACCCCCATATGTTTTACTTCAGAAAAAAAGTACTCTAAAATGGTGAAAGTTATACTTTCTTTAGTGCATTAGATTTTATCAACACAGAGTTTTTAAACTCACTTTTTTACATATATAAATACATATATGTATAAATGTATTTTTGTGTCTATATACATATATGTGTATATGTTTGGAGTTCCCTTACTGTTCCCTGCACCTCGATAGAACCAGTGAAACCGAGTCGAGCCTGAACCCCCTGGATTACAGTGCCACTTGAAATATATATATGTATATATATATACATATATATATTTCAAGTGGCACTGTAATCCAGGGGGTTCAGGCTCGACTCGGTTTCACTGGTTCTATCGAGGTGCAGGGAACAGTAAGGGAACTCTAGTTAATGGAGTGTTCTGTTGTTTGTAGGTAGAGGGAGAATCTGCAGCACCTGGACACTGATCCACAATTTATATTTCAACCATTAAGATCCAGCCTGTGTCTTTCTCCTCCAGGTTTTTGAGACTGGAATTAAGAGTCTTTACTTGGTAGTAAAAAAAAAGAAACACCATTCTCTTTTGGCATTGGCTGAGCAGTAAGCCATGTTAGACGCACAACAAAAACTTTAAACTTAAATTTTCAGTTTTCTACAATTCTCCATAGTAACTGTCTCTTTTGGTAAAAATCTGCAGTGAAGCAGGAACTCAAGGGATTGGAACGAATGTCATCGATTCTCATGATGACATTGGCCATATTTTGCTACATGGACGCAGACTGGTGCGTATTTTGGACCCAAGCCGTGGTCCGCTGTTGGCCGTCAGGACTGGTGGTCAATCTGTGATAGAGCTGCTGCACTGTGCTGGCAGTTTCATTCATGTCTTCTGGGTAACGGGTGCAAAGGTCCTCGTTGGCCACGTAGTGGGTGTCAGAAAACTCTGAGAAGTATCGACCCACCTCTTGGTGTCCGATCTCCATGGGGGCCGAGTGAGGCTCCAGGTTTTCTGGAGGAAGAATCGCACATAGAAAAGAAAAAAATGAAGAAAATGAAAACACACACACACACACATTTCTCCACTAGACAGTGATCACCTCGAAACACAACAGCGTTCATTATTCACCATGACGCACTCACCACAACCACACACCGCGAGCTGGGGACAGTGTTATTAAGTTGTTTTGCTGTATGTAAGCAAACCGCCAATTTAGTGATGTGTAAAAAAATCTTCCATCTACTTGCTAGTAGATAGTAAAGGTCTGATACAACAGTCAAGTTAAATTTGTCACAGGGTCTCCCATACAGGCCCCTGACCCCTGGTTTTAGTACCATTTCATTATATTTTTTGTTATTTAATGCTTATTTTTGTTTTGTCCAAAATTGATTGTATTTATCCAAAATGTTTGTATTAAGTTTACGACATCACTTTGTTGTTTTGGAAATGCTAACCATTCCATCCGCTTCCTGCAGAATCCACTTTTGGAGTGAATGGTACAAACGCACCTACAGCAGGTCCGGGCAATATATGGTATGTGGGCCAGATATGGCCCGCTGGGCTATCTAATCAGGCCTGCCAAACACCAGTACAAAGTATGGTAAAGACTGATGTAAATCCTTCGGCTTCATGCATTACAATGAATCGACTGTAATTTCCAATGTTGCCACTTGATGGCAGCAGACATCAAATGTGCCAAATTATATTTTGGTCCTTGAGTCCAAAAGTTTCTCCACCCCTGACCTACAGTATGAATGAAATACCTGATCAATATACGTCTTGATAAGCAGGAAATTGCAAGAAAATTATGGATACCTTGCGCTGCGTAGCGGCATGTTCCATCCTGAACTAGAACGTTGTAGAAGGGCTGTTGGGCCCCACGGGGCAGCTGACGGACCCTCATGGTGGTGATCCACTCCTGGCTCATGCTGCATTTGGAGTCCCAGCCGTAAATCACACAGTTGTAACCTGACCTGGTGCGGACCGTGAAGCACAGCAGACTAGCATCAATATCTTCCACTATTAAAACTGTTTCTAATTCTGGACGTTCTAACACAACACACCTCTTGTGTTTCATGACCATTCCGACTGAGTACTGGACCTCTGAGTTTTCCGGAGCACTGTGCCTCTTCACCTCAGGCGCCATTGGGTACTTCCTGTGCTGGATGTGTTCCATTGTGTGTTGCACCAGATAGCCTACCGCTCCGTGCTGAGACGGATCCAGGGCCTGGATGTGCTGCAGGATGTCGAGCACCTGTGGTAGGACAACGGACGATGGACGAGACATGAGAATTCTTAGGTAAATGGATGTCTTAGCCATGAGAATTAATTTGTGAAATAAATCAGATGAATAATTTTAACTTAATAATATTTCCACTTATTGTTCCATGTAAGCGTTGTTATTTAAACATGCTGTGGTGTTTCATTTTCTGTGGTGTGCTAAAATACCATCTCGACTCCCAGAATGCATTGGTCTACAACTCACAAGGTGACTGACATTGAGTCAAGGACAACAACTTGAATGGAGATTAGAAAGTTATTTTTTATATCTTTGTGAAAATAGGAATGCTGATTAATCTCAATTAATTGTAATTAATCAGATTAAACATTTGAATCGTTTAACAGTCAGATATTAAGACCAGATTTTTTTTAATGATTCAATGTTCAACTCAGCCACAAAGGCCGAAAAGAGAATAGGAGGTCGTTTTCCACTCAGGATCGTGTTGAAGGTTGTAAAAAAGTCAAGTTCAATTTTGCTATTTATTCAAATTTAACAACTTCCTGGTCTTTAACATATGGTTTATATCCTCTTCAGTAGTAATGTGATGTCAATTTTGTAAATAATAAAAGAAATTCCAAACCACCTCTTTCATAGCACATAATTCTATTGTGTCATTAACATCTGATTTTTCGGACCATAAGGCGCACCGGGTTATAAGGCACGTTAAGCAAAACAAAACAGTCAGTGAAACAATTAAGCGTAACCAAATCAAGCATGTCGGGATCCCTCTCGTCAATATCCGAGTCAGTCTCGTTGCTGTTACTCAGCTGTTCAGTGATGATTACGGCCTTGGTGAAAGCTTGGACGACATTTGAGACCGATGCCTTAGCATCCACGATCCATTAGCAGATAGTGGCGTAACTCGCCCTCTGTCTTAGTGAATGTGCGAATTCTTTGGTTAATCCACCAGGAATGACGGCAAGCCCCGAATTAGTTTGCTTCACTTGGGTTTTGACAATATCGGTGAGATGGGCGCGCATGGAGTCGCATATCAATAGGGACGGAGATTTGTGGAAAAGGGTAGTGACCTAAGTTGGACACTGGAGGACGCTGTTGTGTAGAGATGTTGTCACTATTTTTGTTCTGGATGGTCACTGTATTGTTGTTTTGACGCTGTTCCGTGGCGAATTGCGGATGTTTTGCAGAGAGAGTGTGTTTTTTCCCTGCATCGATAAAAAAAGGAGAAATAAAAAGAGTTCTTGACCACGAAAAAATCGACAGCCATGCGTCTGAGTCGTCCTGTATCGCACCATACATCGACAATACAAAAACACAACTTAGAGTTCCGGAGTGTTTGGAGGCACGACGCGATGTTGCGCGGATTTGGGTTACAACTATACTGTAACAATTGTTGTTGAGCATCTTCTAATTGTTAATTAACAGAGTTAAACGTCATTGTTGGCTCCCACTGTGCTTCAGTTGTGTGGCATCATGTGTGATGCGCTGTGTGGTTTGGCTTTATAAAATCGGTTAGAGCTCAGTAAGCACAACCAGAATTAATACATAAGGCGCAATGTCGATTTTTGAGAAAATGACAGGTTTTTAAGTGGGCCTTATAGTAGTGAAAATACGTTAAATAAATTATTAATAGGCAAAAAATAATCTTAATTTATTCCTGATAGTCATATATTTACATATAAAGAAACAGCCGCTGTCTGTTTGTCTCATTTGTTGCAGCCTAATTAGATTTTCCCCATAGGTTAAATGAATAGGATTTAAATACAGGAGTCGTTACATCTGTGAGCATTCCGTAAACTGACAGCTGGTGGAACACACTCTCGGTGACGGTTCAGTCTTGCTTACAGTGCCTGTAGTTCATTCTGTAATTAAGACACAAGTGTGTTCCGCTCTCCACACACCGACTCCTGCACATCTGTCTGTTCTGACGCTTGGTTGTCTCTCCAGTGCTGGTCCCTCAGCTTAACTTCATCCTACTTTACTACATGTCACAGTCACATGCAAGGCAGGAATTCAGTGATTAATGCTCAGCTCTGTCATTCATGTAATCACAATTAATTGTTATAAAAACAAGTAATTATTAATCATCATGAATGAATGCAATTCATAATCTCGTATATTTTCATATAAAGACTGTCAAACAATCCAGTTTTAAACAGATTAATTGTGATTAATCACGATTAATCGTGATTAATCATGATTAATTGTAATCATAATTAATAATAATTTATCATCATAAATGGATACTTTTCACATATTCTAATGTTTTCATATTAGGGCTGCCAAACAATTTAATGTTAAACAGATTCTTCATGATTAATCACGATTATTCGTAATCATAATAAGGATTAATCATCAAGAATGGCGAAAATCGACATCACAACTTAATATGACAAATAACGCCTGACTTTGGAAGTTGAAGCCTCTGTAAACCCATGCTAGGAGTTTTAATGGTATTTAAACCTCCTACATCCAGACTTTTTCACAAATATATTAACAAAATTAAAGTTTCACAGCCATTATTAATATACTGTTTACATATAAATTTGTGATTTGACTCAGTGCTTTTACACCATCTCTTTAGATCTAAAGCACAAAGTACAAAGTTCTCTCCTCTTACCCTCTCTTGCCAATATTGAGCAGGTTCCCCACCATCCTGAGAAGCACCTCTGTAGTACTGATGGCACTGTAGTAGTCTGCTGTCACCTGGTGCCCAATGAGGTACTCGCACTCCTTGGCCGTCAGTTGCTTGCCTTTGCCGAAGGCATCGATGTAGACAAAGTCGTAGATGTCGTCACTCCTGAAGTGAACATGTTTGAATACTATAACATCAATCCAACAATTTTACCTGCCATTGAAAGTACATGTATAAAGCAAAACAAATCCAACATAAAAAGGAAAGCGCTACGGTTCCCAAGGTGAGAGGCGGGGTCCCCTTACGGGGGGTAGACCTGCAGTTATGGATGCATTTATAGATAAATATAAATACACGTCTTGTGTACTTATCAGTGTCAGTATCAGGTACTTCAGCCTGGTATTTTGCATTAGCTTTATGTGTTATGTGTTGTATCATATATCTATGTCATTCATGTCATTTACTGTAATGTTATGAATTCTTAGTGATAATATATGAAGTATTACTTTATTTAGAACTGTACCTTTGAGCTTTTTGGCCCCAGCGCAGCAGAAAGTGATTTGGGAAGTTGACGGGCTCCAGTTGCACGCCAAGTTTCTGTGCCAGTGTCATGTAGAGAACAGAGAGGCTGATGGGAATGCCAATGTGGCGTAGGAGCACCTGAACCCAAGAAGGTGTGGTCCAATCAGAAACAGTGTCTTTTTATATATATANATAAAAAGTTGTTAAATACCTGGTGGATGTAGGAGTTGAGGGGATTGTAGTAGTCCAGTTCATTTCCTTTATATTGAAGATGATCATATAAGACGGTGTTTAAGACACACAGCACCTGCCTCTGGAGATTAGAGTCTTCTATGACGAAACAGTCGCCTGCATCACACACACACACAGAAACATATTAAAACTGTGTGACAACCAGGTTGGGCAGGAAGAACTCAATTTTCCGCAGCAAAGTATTTACAGGAGTCTTTGGAATGACACTACTTCTTTGACCTAAACCGCCTACTGCAGGGGTGTCAAACTTATTTTCACCGGCGGCCACGTCAGCAATGCAGTTCCCCTTGAAGGGCCAGTTAATAAAAGTTAGTAAAAGGTAGACTGTATAGATCAGTGGTTCCCAACTTGTGGTTTGTGGACCAGTACCAGTCCAAAGGTCATTTGGTACGGGGCCGCAGTGGGACACAGTGAAAAAAATTTGCTTAATTTTTACCAATTTACTTCATTCAAAGAAAATCCAGAAAATTCACCATATCTATTGACTTCCTTTATTTAAAGATAATCTGGCAATATTTTAAAATAATAGGTCATTCAGACTCTGATACAAACAGAAAAGAGTCTAGTAGATGTTTTATTTTGAAAATTTAATGATCCTTCAATGCTCAGCACCTTGCTACCGGTCTGTAGTAACTGGGTGACCAGTATCACGGTCAGGGTTAGATGTAATTATGCCATAAAAGACTAATACATGTTTCTGCAAATTGATTATAATTTATTCAAGCTAAAAATATTGTTCATTTCTATGTAATAAAAAACAAAAAAAAAACAAAACAAAAAAAACAACTTAATTTCATTAGTTAAAAAACTCTGCTGAATGGACTTTATTTAATCAATTTTAAGCTCCCACAGCTTAAAATGGCCTACTCTATGTCAAACTCAAGGCTCGGGGACCGGATCTGGGCCACATCATTTTCCGTGGACCACCAGAGCTTAACAGGTGTATGGTTGTCCTAAAAAAGTCATGCGTGGCCAGTATTCACAATTCAAATTTTTGTATAACAATTTTAAAAAGGATATGTTTACTACATCTCCCATACACATGCACATTGTTTTTGTGATCGGTCATGATTTTTCAAAATTCTCATACATACGTCCCAAAAAAATGTTCCCCTAACTTATAAAGGCCCACCTTCAGTGATGTGCAGAGTGGGATGAGAGGAATTTTTCACCCTGAGCACCTTCTTAACCTTTTCTGCCACCTCATTTACTTGAGCCAATATGCTGTCAAGTGTAACATCAGCAAGTGGGTTACAATACTGGTCCACCATGACAGCACCTGAGGGAACAGAGTGGTGAAAATCCATCTTATATCACACAGGACAAAAATGTGTATTCAATAGCAAACTCTTAATCTAACATTTAAAAAAAAAAAAAAAAAAAAAAAGCTTTCCCCCACCTTCCAGAGCCGACTGCTGCTCTGCAGGCAGCTCTAGAAACATTTTCAGACGCCTCTGGACTTTCTGCTGTCTCAGAAAGTAAAGGATTTTCTTTGCATAGTACTTTAACGTGAGGCTTTTACTATGGATGAGTGGAGAAAAGCGCAGACTCATTAACAATGCAGGGAGGAGAATGTGCAACAACAACAAAAAAACTCAGGGTTTTATGGATTACTCCAGGAATAGCCGCTAGGGGGCAGCAGATAGCGGGCTCTTACCTCCTGTCTGTGTTCAGAATGAAGAGAAGCTCATCTTCACAGAAGTGCTCGGGCATTCCCAGTGATTCGATCTCTGCAAAGCTGTCTCCCAACACTTGGCCAACGCAAGGCTACGTTACAGATCTCTGCGTTAGTTTGGTGGGTTTGTTAGGAATTTAATTAAAAATATGTGAAAAATATATAATTATAGGACAATTCATGATAAATATGTATATTAAATATTGAATTCTATTCTATTCTTCTCTATATAATCGTATTGATGTTGATATTTATGTTTATATCTAATTATAATAATAGAACACCTGCATGTGATAGAATGGTAGTAAGGTAGTACTATGTCACATTTATTTTTTAGTATATGTATAATTTGATTAATTTACAAGACGGTGACACAATATACGCATGACAAATATATTACTTACGACTTCTGTGAAGAACTTCTTAGAGATCGACTCTACCATCCTTCTTATCTCTGAACCGACACGATGGCGTGTTTTGTATTCTCCCAGCCAGTCATAACATTCATTCTGGTGATAAAACCGCTGCAGTCTAGGGCATCTGTGCAGATCAGACGAAAATAATTGTTATCAACACGAAGTTTTCAATGAGACCTGTTTGCGATGATGTAGAGGATCTAGATGAAAGCTTCAAGTCATAATTCTGTTAGCTTTTGGTAAATCACGAGTTTGAACAGCTGTACAGAGTTTATGATTGACGAGCCCTGTTTAGTGGTCTGAAGATAAACAGATTGTCGCTCGTTAGGTATGACTATACATTCAGACACATCAGCAGAGAACTATTACTATTTAAATCACTGTTACGACAGAAATCTAAGATAGAAGTCACATCACATATAGAATACAAGCACCTGAGTTTATACTGGTGTTCCCAGACCTTTCCCCTTCCATGGCAGACGTCGCGTAGGCGCTTGCAGCAGGAGGAAACGTTACAAATATCGGTATGTTGGAGGACTGGGGCGCAAAGGATGTATTCGAGCAACTCACTCGGCAGGTCAGTGAGTTTTTTGCTCTGAGGGTCAGAAATAATCCCAGTTACACTACATTGCTCCTCTCCGGACACAAATGTCGCCATTTTGACTGTTTACTCTGATTAGCTCACTGTTCAAACTCCACCTATTTATGGCGCAGGGGCAGAACTATAGGCGGGACATGTGCGATAAAGTGGCGTACGATTGGCTGAGCGATGGAAGGGAAAAGTGATGCTGTGCTACGTTCAGGCACTTCAGGAACCGAACTTGAATTAAGGAACTTCTTAAAAACAGACAATATTTTACTAAGATAACTTATCAAAACTTATTCTCTGAGCTGTTTCTAATGGGACGCAGGGTTTCACGACTTTCTGTCTGTTCTGACCATCTGCAAAATTTATACTCACACATACCATGAGAACTAGAAAATATAGAAAATAAGTTTATGCAAATTCATACCACTTAAAACATGAAAACTGAAACATGTTTTTTATCATACAATTAGAAAAAACACCTTTTATGAACATCATTACATGCATGCACCCTTTGGTATTGAATATTTAGCTGCTGGACCAAAGTTTGTCCGTCAGCGCCGCACTGTTTCCTTATAATAACAGACGACACTTGAACGCAGCAAGCGTCAAGGCTAAACAGCTAACAAGCGGTTAGCAACAGTTAGCCGAAGCTTCTGTACAAGCTCAGCTCTCCAGAGGAAACCTGTTGGATTGACAGTTTTTTGTAACCCGGAATCTTTTTTTTTATACCTCAGACGTTTATGACTTCGGCGAAAGGAGAAGTAATACAGGATCGAGCTAACATATTTTATTCACCCTTGCGTAAAACTTAGTGTAATATAAAGTTGTCATGTTGACGTTTTCTTATGAAGTTGACGTAAATTGATAGTACAACACGATGCTGTGTAACCAAAGTACGCAGGACATTTGACGACAAATACAGTGTAAGCAAGTAAATGTGATTTATACAAACGTGGGAAGTTGCTTATAATCGGTGAAAGGAAGGAAAACCTCGTCACAAATACAGCTGTGTTTACATTACGATAGCATTGCCGAAATGACTTGACTTAACAAATTACGGAAGCGGTTACATGTGTGAAGTATTTAAAGTGAGAGGTTGAAAAAAATAAACCACTTTTGTAAGTAGGTAGGTAGAGTTCCTACTTATTTTATTTGCCATGGCGAGTGCCTTAGCAGCGAAGATGGGATTTAACTCACTGCTGAGAAAACAACCGAAGAACTTCAATGTCAGGATCTGTACAATGGAGTCAGACATGGAGTTCAGCTGTGAGGTGTGTATTCTCGACACACATTTGTAAAATATATGACTTTCATTTGACAGTTTTGAGTTATTCTTTAGCAGTCTTGCAGTTTATGCCTGTTTTACCACAAAAAACAAAAAAACAAAACAAAAAACAAACACGGAACACATACGAAACTGTAAATGCAAAATTAATTTAAAAAACTGAATAGTATAATAATGCTTGCGTTTTCATTTTAACTCTAGATGGCAGCAAAAAGCTAATAATGATAATATTTCATCTCTGTCTTATGCAGCAGTGGAATCGTGGAAAATTATTTATTGCAGTATCAGCCTTTACAGTAATCCTATAAAGGAAAAGTGCCTGTCACAAACACAGTGTCTCACGGTGCATTTGTGCTTTCTCCGCGTGTGACTTTGTTCACAATAAATCATCAAAATTACTTGCTGACTTCATCTCTGTACTTACAAGGGAGGAACCCCTGCCAAAATTTGCAGTTAGTAATTACAAAGAGCAGAATAAATTGTTAGGTGCACGTTTCTTTTTTTTCTCCCATGGGAGCCATAATTTAATCCATTATGGCTTTTGAAAATAACATTTTTAAAAAGACAGCTAATTCAGCATCACAAAAGAGTTCTTGATTAGGTTTGCATGTGGTTATGATGTTGATGATTTTTTTTTGTTTATATATTTTTATGATGTTAACATCTAACACTCTGGCCTGTAGCATACCTCTGATAGATCACAGATTCTAAAGATGAAACCGATTGTGCATAGCTCGCAGCTTTCATCCAGAGGCTAAGATTATGTCCTAGTGTGCTGGGTAGATGTTTCATCGTACTAAATAGAAATAAAAAGAGCTCAGAAAAAGGCCATTTATCAGATAAAATTAACCCAAGCTAATTATTTTAGATTTTGATCACTTTATTCCTACTAGTAATTTTAATGAAACTCAACAGAATCGCAGTGGAGAAATATTTTAAGACACACTCTTCTTTCAGGTTAAGTGGAAAGGAAAAGACCTTTTCGACATGGTGTGTCGAGCTCTGGGACTGAGGGAGACTTGGTTCTTTGGTCTCCAGTACCACATCAAGGATACAGTAGCCTGGCTTAAGATGGAGAAAAAAGTAAGTGATTCAAGTGAAGCACTGATTTTCATCAGCAGGTGTGAATTATAAATACTGGTTATGTTTAGTTTCTGAAGCAACCACGAAGGTGAACAACAGCTCTTGCTTTACTGTTGCAGGTTCTGGACCAGGAGGTACCAAAGGAGGAGACGATCACCTTTCACTTCTTGGCAAAGTTTTACCCCGAGAACGCTGAGGAAGAGCTAGTGCAAGACATCACACAGCATCTCTTCTTCTTACAAGTGAGTATAATATATATATACTTTTATTGATCATAATTAGTATTGTTGGGTTTATGGTTGAAACATCCTTTCATCACCTTAGGTGGAAAAAAAGCTGTGTCATGAGACTTTAAATGACCTCAGAACTTTAATTAGTCAGACTTCCTCTACCACTATCTCCAGATTTGAGGTAATTACTTCCCCCTGAGCGTGTGTTGTGCCAAACCTAT